TTATTACTTCCTTACCCTACACTACTCATATCTCTCTTATATTCCCTTACTATTTCTTACCTTCCTTATTATCTTACCTTATTTATTGTTACTTCCGAACTTACCATTCCTTACTTATTATTACTTAGTTGCTTACCTTGCTTATCATCACTTCCCTTATCTTTACTTATTATACTTACTTATTAACCACCTTACTTTCCTTACCTTATTACTACTTACTTATATTACCCCCTTACTTTATTACTTTCTTAACTTCTTTACTTATTATTATTCCTCATATCTCTCTCCTTATTTTCCCTACTATCTATTACACTTACTTAGTTACTTATTACTTACCTTATCTCCATCACTTCCTTACTTATCATTCCTCTGTTACTTAGTCTCCTTATTATCTCCTACTTATCAATCTTCACTTACCTTATCACTACTTATAGTCTCTATCTCTCTTCCCTAATATTACTTCCTACTTACTTAGTCTCCTTATTATCTCCTACTTATCAATCTTCACTTACCTTATCACTACTTACTTATAGTCTCTATCTCTCTTCCCTAATATTACTTCCTACTTATTTACTTCCCTTACTTAGTTACTTATTACTTCCTTAATTATCCCTTCTTTTACTTATTTATATTTCTTATTATCACTTCCCTTACTACTTATTCTTACTTATTATTAGTTACTTAGTTATTATCACTTCCCTTACTACTTATTATTATCTCTTACCTTATACTTACTTAGCTAACTAGGTCCTATTAGTCTGTCTTCAATATCACTTCCTTACCTTATTATTGCCCTGTTATTAGTTAGTTGCCCTGTTATCACTCTCTTACCTTATTACTACTCTTATTACCTTATTATTACTTCCTTACCTTACTATTCTCCTGTTATTACCTATATTCCTCATATCTCTCTCCTTATTTTCCCTTCTATTATACTACTTACTTTATTACTTATTATATAGTACTTACCCTACTATTACTTATTAGTTTATTACTTATTATTCTCTCTTACCTTATACTTACCTATATTACCTTATTATCTCTCATATCACTTCCTCATCTTATTATTATTAGTTACCTTCTTATTACCTATATTACTTCCTTATCTTATTATCTCTCATATTCACGTATTGTCTCTCTCCTTATTTTCCCTACTTATCATACTACTTAGTTATATTGGTCTTGTTAGTTACTTACCTTATCATTCCTTATACTCTTACTTATTTACTTACTTATCCTTACCTTACTTAGCTACTCTACTTAGTCGTTAATTATCATATTTATATACTTACTTATTCCTTCCCTAATATCACTGCCTTACTTTCCTCACTTATTATCATTCCCTTTCTATCTCTTACTTATTTACTTACTTAGCTATCTTATTACTTAATCACTTCACTTAGTCCTTCTTTATACTTCCTCACTCTTATTATTCCTTACTATTCCTTTTATTACTTACAGTATCTTACTTACCTTTACTCTTATTAGTATTCCTTACTTATTATTCTATTCATTTCTTCCCTTACTACCACTTACTCTTATTATTCCCCTTTCAATTCCCTTATTATACTTACTTATTAACCTACCCTATCCTTACTTACCTTATCTATTGTCTGTCTTCAATATTAGTCCTTTGTCACCTTATTATAGTTGGTTATATTAGCCATTTATTATTACTTATTACTAACTAACCTAGCTTCTACTAGTCTGTCCTCAATTCTTTCCCTATTTCCCTTACTTATACCTCCTACTTAGTCACCTATCTTTATTACGTAGTTATCATTTAGTTACTTACTTTTCATCATACTTACTATTTACTTACCTTGCTATGTTCTTTAGTCATCACTTCCCTCACTATTAGTCTGTCTTTCAATACCACTTATTACTTATTTATCTTATTACTTATTTATCTTATTACTTATTTATCTCTTACTTCCCTAATATTCCTTCCTTATTACAGTTACGTATCGCTACTTGCCCTACTACTTAGTCTCTTGACTTATTATCTTATTTTTATTACTTATCACTATTCCTTACCTTATTTTACTTATTTATTACCTGTCTATTATCTCCCCTATCTTCCTTATTTTACCTATCACTTGTCTCCTTCCATATACTCCTCTTTTACTATTCCTTACTCTTATACTTCCCTAGCACTATTCTATTTATTTATCACTTACCCTACCTTTACTCATCTTACACTTCCTAGTTGATCTTCCTTGCTTATCTTCTTCCTTAGTCCCTACCTTCACTTCCTAGTCTTCCTCTCCTAGCCCCTATAATTTTTACCAAATCCCTACTTTATCACACTTACTCAGTCTTACTTACTCGCTTCCCTATCTCTTTTTACCTCATCTTCTCTTATATTATCTATACTACCTTATATCTCCCATATCACTCTCTTACCTTATTACTACTCATATCACTCTTATCACTCTCTTTCCTCATATTCCCTTACTATTTCTTACCTTATTCATAGTTACTTCCTTAGTCAATTAATTAACTTAGTTACCTTCTTTTATTATTACTTATTACCACTTAGTTACCTTACTATTCCTC